TGAATAACTGCTTTCTTCAAAATTTATAAAAAAAAATAATACTTTTTGCCAAAATTACCAACACGCTTTTCTTAGCGTGGTGGGGGATCGAAAATACCACAGCCGCGGCCTCGAAAGGGGAATTCTACCAATACACGCTTTTCTTTAGCGTGTGGGAAAGACCCAGTTTTCCTTAGTTTCTCCTAAACGGGGGAGACGCCCGAGGCTGCCGAAAATTTCGGGTGAATCATACATGCTATATTTGGACTTAAGTGGACTCAAACCCAATCATAATTGTTGAACAATTGGACATTTAAATCTGGCCACTTGCCCAAAGGACACAGGGGACCCGAATGAATGGGAAGAGGCTCAGCTTAAGCCTGAACTGAACTTGAACTTCAGATTGGGAACTTGAAACTCGGACTTGCACTTGGACCTGACTTGAATAGGACTTGAACTTGATAAACATAAAGCTTGTGAATTCCAACTGAATATTGAATAAATACATTGAGCTCAACTTGATCTAAAGCCTAATATTTAAAAAAAAAAAATCATGAAACATGAGAGTGATAATTGCAATCAAATATCAAAATACAAAATTATCAAATTGATGAATTCATAAGGGATATATGAATATTCAAATATCATGCCAAGCATGGAATAACTCAAAGCAATGGATCAAGTGAATGCTTTATGAGAAACAATACAAGGTTCTCATTGAACATTAAGATGATAATTTCGTCATTTAAATTCACCCAAATAAATATCATGCAATCCAAATTAGGCGATGATGTACAAATTATTCATAAACCTTAGCATGATGGTCTTTGATGATTATACTGACTTGAAAGATCATATGAATTTGGAATAAAAATATTTGGTCATAATATCAAATTCCCTACCTTTTTGTAAACCAACATTGAAGGACCAGAGGAACTTGCAAGATGTAATTTATTTCAAATAATGAAAAGATTGTGGAAGGATATGATTTGGTCATAATCATGGCTGAATTCTTTTGTACTTTGATAACAGGTTTGCAACATTATTATTCTAAGAAATGATCAGAGATGGGCATGATAGTTGATCATAATATAGATAAATGTGCAAACCATAAGACAATATTGAGGGATTATCACATTATTTGTAGCTCATCATTCAAGCAAGTCCATACCCTCCTACAAAGGTACTATAAATTCTCTCTTATGGTACAACACAACGGCTTCACAATGAATATATAATAGTGCAAACCAAAGAAATCTTGAAACATACGATCTCTCTACGAAGACAGACGTATTACCACATTGCCATTGATGGTAAGATGCATAAAAGACTAACAGTAAAATGCATATCCTGTAGTCAACTTCAGATCTAAGATGAATAACATTCTACCTCAACAATAAGGTATTGTTAAGAGATCAAAAAATCACAGATAGAATGCATAAAGACTACAATTCCTACGAGCTTCACAACCCAAGGCAATGAGTATGTACGAACAGTCTACTGTACAAAGCAGTGAAACAAGTCTATTCGAAACTGCTACGTCCACGCTCACCGGATCTGCAACATTCGTACAAGCAGACAGAAGGCGTCCACAAACTATTTCAAAAATACCCCTGCCATGTGCACTATAAATTATACACATAGGTACCACTAAAAGGAGCGAAAAATAACAATCACTAAACCCGCCATGGGCCCCGACAGCGTATTATGTTTACATACGTCGTCTTAGGGATGCTGGCGCGGGTGTACAAGTTGAATTCTAGTCGAACGCCGATCCTCGCTATACGGTTAATAGGAGCGACAGGTCGAACCATTAAGCAAATATGTTGGCGGAACGCCAGAATATTTTTTTTATCAAAATATTCAATTAGGCCTTCAAAGCCTTAAATCAAACGAGAATTCACTTCCAAGGCTCAAACCTAAAACCCGATCCTCTTCGACAAATCCCGACAGAGTTGACAATTGTCGACCATAGGAGGAAAATGGCTCGAACACCCCGATGATGGCGTGTTGAATGCAAGATCTCAACCGGAGGGTTTCCCCAAAATTTTTCCAAAATATCTCCCAAAATATCCAAAATTTTTATTTCAAATATTCCAAAGCTCCACCCAAATACTACATAAGAAACTCAAAAAAATCCCAAAGTCCAAAAATATTTAAAAAAATGGAAATCTATTCATCAGCGACCTAAAGCCAAAAATCCATCCGCCTCCGCAACGGTTGTTCGAGCGGACAAATTCAAAATAAACATCTACTCAACAAGAGATAAATGCCTAGTTCAAAAATATTACTAGGAATCCATTCTCCAAACAATCTCTTGCTAAGTAGGACGTGGTACGTGTCCTCTACCGGCAGTTCTTCGCCTCCAATGCACTGCAGGGTAAACGGTTTTGACCCGGGCCCTCTGAACCGACGTATGGTTTCGCCGCCAAATGCACCACGATAGCGCGTTATGCCAGAGCCCAATACGCTCCTTAATGGCCGTTAAATCCTTGAAATTATGAATCAAATAGGATATGATTGATAGGCACACAAAGCCCTCTGTAACTAAGGTGGATTTAAATTGCACCTTAGACAAACATTCAACCGTCGTCGTACAGTCCCCTTGGACGAACAAACCCATGGCGCGATAAGGATCCTCTCCTGTCAAGGGTGTCGACTACCTCCTGCTGACTAAAGTAGACCAGGGACCATGATGGCCCGGACGACGGAACCAGGGATCTTTGATCGGGTCTTATCATTCCATCCCCCACCATCCGCTTTAAGTTTGCCAGATGGTGAAAATTCCAATTTAAATATTCAAATTTCTTCAAATTCTTTCAAAACCAAATTCCAGAAATATGAACCTTCAAATTCTCAAACCCCCAAATCTTCAGATTTCCAAAATTCCATATCCTATTGCCTCTACTAAATTGCCAGATAACACGTATATTCTATACGAATCTATCGATGACATAGCCTTAATCGAAAGTTCTTCTCTCGTGAATCGGTAGGGGTAATTAACTATTTAGGGCTTGCGCCATAGGAAACCAGAACTTCAGATTCATAAAGTCCTCACCAAAATGAGGGCGAAATCTCTCGACGAACTCGTCATAGGAATAAAAAATGAAGGAGCATCAAGAGATTCTACCACTGGACGTAAAGGCTCACTTGAGTTCAAAAAAACTCTTTTACTTTGATAGATACTCACTCTTTCCTTCTTCCTTTATCTTATAGAAGACTATTCAATGAGATCCGTTCTCTCCACACTTGAGATGAAATAGCCGAAGTTCTTGCCTACACTTGCAGATGTAAGCCGAATATTCTTTCCCACACTAGAGGAGTAAAGATAAGGTTCTCTGCCCACAATAGAGAGGTAAAGACGATCTCTGCCACACTCATGTTAAGACGGGACCTCTCCAATACTAGTTAAAAGACGACGTTCTCTGCCAACATCGAGTAAAAAACGATATTCTCGCCCACGGTACTGTAAGAGGTGTGTAAACTTCTCGCCTCCTGGTATCAAAAAGGAGACCTATTTTTAGCAATACCAAGCCCTAGAAATTAGGTCTGTTTTAGACCAACACTATAATTGGTCAATTACTTCTACTTTTCTTACATTTTCGCATTTATTATTTTTTTTAAAAAACTCTGTATTAAAAAACATTCTTCTACAAACTTAAAAAACCAATTTATTCAGGTTAAATATTTAAAAGCTAAAATCTTAAACACCAATTCACCCCCCCGCTTACCTCTTGACATTAACTTAGGCCTTAACAAACCGTAAACAACTTCCAACATATATATACATCATTACAATACGATGTAAAAAAATCCAATTTATCTTACATCCCTTGGTGAATGAACCCAAAGAATTACCTCCCATCTACCGATAACCCCATCTTCTCAATATCTTTCCAAAAAAATACAACCTTCGGAAACTAGTTCTAGTTTAAATAATCAAACCCTCCCACTCGCGAATTTTACACAGCCAATATATAGAAAAAGCTTGAGCGTAAATCCATGGAGTAATCCAGCAAAGTACGGACGAATTTATCGTAGACTCAACTACAAGCAATAAATCAATACAAAATAAATAACAATAATAGATAACCAGTTTATTAATAAAATAAAATTATTTTTGAAGCGCATCTCAATTTTTCAGTTGAAATGAGAGAACCAGAGTTTATGAAAGCATCTTCAATGTAAACCACATATGAAAGCAATGCTTCCCCATTTGCAATATTGGATTCAAAACCTCGGACAGCCACTATGAACCGAATAATCATACATACATATGAGCTGCAATACAATAATACTCTTTATCATACTCATTTAAAATAGATAAATAGTTCACGTTACTCAAATATCTGTCCCAGATCACAAAGACTATTTTTTCCCTTATATCAAAGAAAAGAAACTGACATCCCAATAAGAGGAACACCAAATTTATTGAACAAATCACTTGACATCTTCATCCAAGGATAACACAGCCAGTCGCTCACCACCCCAATACACATAATTAACATAAAAAAATAACAAAGAATGAGAGACCAAAAAGATAAACTAAAAAGCCTAACTTTAACTAGGTCTACCGTTGTCATCTCTGCTTTCCCTTAATTGGTCTAGAATAGACATCTCAACTTATGAGGCACTTGGCGTCATAACTAATCCGCACTTATTCTAATTTTTTTTTCAACATACTAAATTATTCTTATTTGCTAAATTTATGCCTATAATTTTTATAATGATATTTGCATTCATATTTGCAGTTTTATCTGAAAATTTTAAAAAATACTGATATTATTCTAATCTTCGATCCAGGCAACTACATCGTGCGACGAACGGTGAATCCGATAACCAAAGTCCTCGAGTACTGCCTGCAAGACATTTCCTCCCCTTTCCCCTACATCCTCACCGCCTCCGCTTCAAATACCCACCAAAATAACCCAACCAGATTCCAAATTACAAGACTTCAGCTCAACGAAGACATTCTCTATCTCTACAAACAGATCCTCATCATGGCCGAGCAGCCCCATCCCATTTCTACAAGCCCAGTTTCCTCTGCCTTTCCTGTAGCCGTAAACATACTCCTCGACACCAAACACCTCATCAAAGACTACAATATGAACTTCTCCCAACCTACCAATATCGATCCAGAACACATCAAGCTAACCTGCGTTGCTCGGTTGCGCGGCCACCTTCACACAGAACTGCAGCCGAAGGAGATACTGAGAATTCCGACTAACTTGACTATCGGCGACTTGAAGAGGGTGGCGGAGAGATACTACAAGAGCACGTATTTTGGTTTGAGAAATTTCGTCGCTGATGCGGTGATGTTGGAGAATGCGAATGCGAGTGGAGGAGAGGATTGTGAGGGTGATTTGGTTGCTGGGTTGGTGGAGATCACTAATGGTGGTGTGGTGGTTGTTGAAGGGAGTGGGAATTGTGTGGATGGGGAGATTATGTTTGAGTGTGGGAATGGAGAAGAGGTTGTGGATTGCTTGTGTGGAGCGAAGGAGGAGGATGGGGAGAGGATGGTGAGCTGTGATATATGCGAGGTTTGGCAGCACAGGAGGTGCGTTAGGATTCAAAATGGAGATGAGGTTCCCTATGTTTTCCTCTGTGGGCGGTGCGAGAGCCAGATTGTGAAGCTGCCGTTGATGCAGTATTAGTTAATTAGTTTGATAGTTTGTCTTTGAAAGAGTAATAATGTGGGTTTGTTTAGCTTAAATGAAGTTATGATTATGGATGCTTAATATGTCTACCTTAGTTATTTTTTTATTTTTTATTTTTGGACTTCAGATGCTGGATTATTCTGTAATATCATATGTGTATCTTTCTTAATTACTTGGGAAATTCATCGTTGGGTTTTTTTAGTTCATAGTTGTATAAATCATTTTTGAAAACTACGTGTTTGCTGATTTTATATTAGATATTTGTGGCAATTATATTACAAGGAAAAATTTATCACAAAACATAAAAAAAACACAAATTTATATGAAAAAATTTAAATGGATATAAGATAGAAGGGATGAATTCACTTTATTGAGAAAATAATAATAATAATAAGTAGAGCGGAACGGCTCAAATAATATCTTAGCAAAATCTTAATTATGTGTATAAACCAGCGCGTGCAAACAGTAATAAAGACCGTGTGTTTTTGCTGGAGAAGGCGATCTTGGCGATTTTGGCGGATCTTTGGCGATTGGAGGTTCTTCGTTGGTTCGGTGTGGCCGATGGAGTTCATTGGTGGGAATTTTCTTATGAGTCTAGATTTGAATTCCGATTGGCTGAAGGCGATTTTTGCGGATAATCGAATTTTCTTCTGAGTCTAGATTTGACTAATTGCATTGTTGAGCGTGCTTAATTACTTATTTAATCGTATTTTGCATGTATTTGACGCAAGAGCGCCTGTTGAGTCCCTCCTAGATCTAAGGAAATTATGTGTTATGTGTGCTATTGCATTTCCCCTTATGTTACCCCAAGGGTTAGTCTAAAACCTGATTTAAATCTGCTTAACGTTGAGACACTCTAAGGACAATTATTAATGACCCGTCTAGCGAATTTAAAAAAATTCTAGTTGCTAGGATAGAACCCCGATTGACATGAAACTTTAAATACTTAAGCTTAGTGAAATTATAAACCTTCCAGAATTTTATAAAAATTTTTAGGACCCTTTAAACCCCTTAATTAATGAACCATAATTTACTCTTTAATTAAGCCCCGATAACTTTCAAAAATTCTAATAAATCTATATTAATGCCAAAAATTACCCATAATATATCAAACTCTTTAGAATTTAATTATTAATCATATAAAATTAAAACCCTTTTAATTTGACCTCAATATGAACCTTAATTTAATTTTAATTAAAAATTAACTTTTCATTTAAATTAAATAATTAAAAATTATAAAAATCCCAAATTTTTCAAAACACTTGGAAACATCTTTTGAGGCCATTCCTGATCTTTGGGGGTGATTTCAAGTAGTTGAAGCTGATTTGGATCAAAACTCCTAAATCACCTTTTAATTAAATAATTTTTAATAATTTATTAAATTGTCTAAACTTGAAAAATTCATAACTAATTATAAAAAATTCCAAATTGGGAAAACCAAAAGGAATTAAACTCCAATTAAGGTTTAGTATTTATTAAAAATGTTAGGTTTCAAGAAACTATCCAAAATCAAAAAGACAACTTTTAGGTCAACCATAGTTCATTAACTAAGATTTGAAACTTCTAAAATTCATTACTTCGCGTAGAAAACTCCAAATCCAGCAAATTAATAGGCCAATTACTCATGGTAAGGTCTAATATTTAATTAAAATATTGGAATCCTAAAACCTAACCTATTTCTAAAAGTGACTTTTTTTACCCCCTCTAACTTAGCGGGAAGAGTGACCCCGGACCTTCTAAAACTCACTAATACAACTTAGGATTTAAAGAACACTACCCTAAGCATTAAAATAGATTCACAAACTAAATTTAACTAAAATAGATCCCAATCCATTAATACTTAAACTCTAACTAAACTTCCTTTTTTGACCTACACTAAATTTGAACACAAAATAACTTGAACCAACTACTTGATATAGGACCCACCCAAAGCCTCACAGTCTATTTCACATAAATAGAATTGTTTGATAAGGCACCACTTCTAGCTCTAGGTTAGGTTGGTGCTTCCTTTTCTCTATGATATTTTCTATGTTGTGGCGCTCTTGTATGTAACATCTGTGCTGATTGATTTGAAATGATGTGAGCATTTATTTTATAATTGTAATGCACTTTATCTATGATTGATCATGCGTTAGATCTATCCCTAGGTTAGGGATGACTTATAATAATTCAATTTTATATATGTGGCCACACTCATGTAGTACTAAAATAAATGGGGCTAAAATAATTAATAATCATATATAAATGCTTGCAACAGGTGCTCCAGAGTGCTTAGCCTCCAAAATAAATAAGAGAGTGATTAAGTGTGTTTATTTTTTTACATACATATAAACTTTTAGGGATATTATAATTGCTTGAGATTCTTTTATTAAGATAAGAATACAGGAGAGTCTAAATTTTTTTTACATGATGTAATTTATAATTTGTAATTTATATGGAGTTGTGAAAGTGTTCTAAAAGTGAGAAATTTCAAACACTAGGTACTCATAGAGAAAAAGAAAGGCTCTTTATAGAGAATTTCTTATTCATTTGAGTATCCTTTTAGAGGATGACTAGTACGAAGCCCTAAGGAGACAATTCGGAGGAAGATGATCTGAAGGAGGATGACCCGATGATTGAAAGACGAAGACTTGAAGATGAAATTTTTTGCTTTTAAGACTTATGTCATTCAGTAGGATTATAATCCAGGTTGTTGTCGATAGGGCCTGACCACCATTACTTTTTTGTATATTCTGAGTTATATTATATGTGGCACTTGCCACAGACTTTGGACTTTCCTTTTTTTACTCTATCTGATTTTATTTATATTGATGTGTTACTTTATGTATGCAGTAGAACTTGCCTATTTTTCCTAGGCTTTATTCTTACATGTGTGTGACTTGATTTTGTTAGGCTCTCTAAGGATTAAAACTTTTTATACTCGTACTTAAATTCTAAAATTTTAAGAATTAAATAACATAGAAACTTAATAATAGAGGAAATAGCCGGAATCATCTGGGGTCACATGCATATTAATGCATATATTTCCCTCCTTTTATAAGAAATTTCTCAGTCTGCGGATAGAGTTCGGATAATCTGACCTATGAGGATGAGGTGTAGAACCTGGAGAAATTTAGTCTTTTCTAAGATATTATTTTTATAAGCCTTTTTAAAATTCTATGCATACTTGATTTGGAGACTTCAACCAGCATGCATTGTATTAGAAACTAACTAATTAAAACTTTAATTACATTAGCTGTAGGAGAATTCACCCTACATAAGTCTAAGGCCAATTAGGAAACCCTCTAGCGTCGGCCTTACTTTTCAAAAACTCAGCCTCCCACCCATCTTTCATAAAGACAAAATAACATATATTTTATGCGCTTAGGGATTAGCTGGCTTTCCTTTTCAGGTAGGATATAAGCCCGAGTGCATTAGCTAGAACACAAATGTTAGTATTGTATAGAACATTAAACCCACTATAGACTAAGGGTTTAATGCTACTACATTTGGTGTCTCATAGTAGGCCTCATTGGTAGATAAGTTCCCTATTCCCCAGGGATTATAAATTATATTTATCAGCATCACATGGATGACACCACATCCATCCTTCTCTCATGTATGATTTGAATGCTTAATTTTCTTTTCTTTAGTTTCTTCCCAATACATAAGTCCCTTCGGATATTAGTATGGGTCATTTGTGTTGACTAAGCAAATTGGAACCCCTTCTTCCCCTTTGAATAGGATTTTCTAGTCTCCCCTCTATGCCGATCTCATTTTAGAATGGATAATATTTAATCCTTAACCGAGAGTCTTCTCAGGCCCTAGGCTCAAGCTGTGATTAACCTCGGGGGGCTTGTGCCCACGAAAAACTGAGTTCCACTATCAAATAAACCTCACTCGAGCTGATGTATTGGGTGGAGGAAACTCGTTATTACGATAAGGTCGTGCATATTACTATCCATCGAGGTGCACTAGCAAGAGCCGCTGTCCTCAATGGTTGGTCGTATGTGCGATCTAATCTACCCTCCCATTAGCTCACTTGCGAAGAGAGTTGACGCTCGTGACCGTCTTGTCCTCCCTTGGGATGGTGCGGTCATATACCTCTCTACACTCTGTCTCTCACTGAGTGGATCGATACCCTTTCGGAGGTCTACAATCGAAAGCCGCAATGGGAGTTCGTTATGAAGTAGTCGTCGCTCCTTTGTTGATGCACAACTTCGCTCCTTGAACGACGTTCACTTTCGATCGAATTGGAAGTTACAACATTTTGATTGAAAGAAATCAATAAACAATGGGAGTTCGCTCGCTGTGAAGATACTAGACGGGATTTTAGGTCAAAGTCAGGTCATTTTCAAGTTTTCGGGTCAACCCAAACCCGACCCGAAATTCGAAACTGGTCAAAAATCAGGACCTAAACCCGACCCATTTCGGGTTTAGGTTGACCCAAACCCAAAATTTACGTGTCAGATTCGGGTCATGTTTTTTTATCGTTTCAAATATTGACACCCCTAATCCCTTGCTAGTTACAAAACAAAATAAAACAAATGATTAGCAGCCAAACCCACAAAAGGACAATAGTAGATCAGCCTCATAGGATGAAGTATAAGAAAATAAAGGATGTGATCGAGCCTGGAAAAAGAATCTACGCAACAAGATAAAATAAAATCAAAGGAACGCTTTAGGATAAGCTTAATGATAGACTTTAATAAAACTTAAGTGATTGTTACAAATTTCCAAAGTTATAGTTTAACTTAATATAGTTTCCTTAGATTTCAGTATGAATAATTTTAATAGGATTTATAAAATTTACAAAAAATTTCTCATATTGTTGAGAATTTTGTTGGGAATTTGTTTTAATTTATTTTCTTTATTGTTGCGGTCTGAAAGATTCGTGGTGGTAGAGTGAGTAAACTTTTTGTCTTAGTGATGCACGAATATCCAACACACAAACAGAAAGAGAGAAGTAGAACACCAAATCTTTTTTACGTGGAAAGCCCGAAGAGGGAAAAACCACGGGGCCTTGCCCAGGTGAAAATATTCCACTAAACTTGAGTGAATTACAAGGATTGACCCGTCCCTCGATTTAGAGGCGGTCG